TTTCTGAAGAATCATGTGACACTGTTATAATGGCTGCTGAAAATTACATTTTAAAATATATTAACAGTTATTTAAAATTTTAATTTTGTGTATAAAGATGTGTATAGTAGTTATCAGTTTCCTGGACTTCAAAAGAAATCCAAGATCTAACCTTCTAATGTTTTCTGGCCCTCCACAGATGATGGGGATCAAGGTAGCGAAGGCAGTGGCCTGTCAGCAGGCTGAACACATGGTGTGGCATCATGGACCAGTTTGTGTCTGTTTTGGGTAAAGATGGCCATGCTTTGCTCATTGACTGCAGGTAAGTAGATTTGCCAATTCAAATTCTTCTGTCACATTAGAATTAATCGGTCATACTTAGTTACTAATTTGTATATGCAAAAATAATATCAAAACATTTATTAAAGGGATACTCCACCCCAAAATGAAAATTTTGTCATTAATCCCTTTCCCCCATGTCGTTCCAAACCCGTAAAAGCTTTGTTCGTCTTCGGAACACAATTTAAGATATTTTGGATGAAAACCAGGAGGCTTGTGACTGTCCCATTGACTGCCAAGTAAATTACACTGTCCAGAAAAGTATGAAAGACAGAATAGTCAGAATAGTCCATCTGCCATCAGTGGTTCAACCGTAACGTTATGAAGCGACGAGAATACTTTTTGTAAGCAAAGAAAGCAAAAATAACGCAGTGTAAAAAATAAGCAGCGTGCGCTCTTCTGTGTCAGCAATGCTGCACAGATGCACTATTTTCATTGATCTATATTTTTATATATAATATATATATATATATATATATATATATATATATATATATATATATATATATAAATATATATATGGTCTACATTTTTATAACTAATCAGTGTACATTAATCAGAATATATATATATATGTGTGTGTATATATGCATATGTGCATTCTGTACAATCTTGCATTGAGAAGCCCAATTCCCACAATGATTAACATTTTCAATAAAAAGGGTTTGTGTAACAAACTTGCTTTTATTGACTTAATTAATAATGCTAATGATGTTTACATGCAATAAGCATAAGTATAGCGTATGCATAGCAAGTACATATATAAATAATGTACTTATATATTAATGTGAAGATGAAGAGTGTTTTGTTTTGTTTATATACAAGGTACAGTAAGCATAAGTATAGCATTCGTTTAGCAATGACGTGTGTGTACTTAATATAAATAAAGATATTTCCAAAATAGAAATAATGAAAGCTCAAAATGTTTTGATTGTGAAGATGAAGAGCGTTTTATGACATTAAGAATTTTATTTTAATATTATTTAAACTTTTTTTGTATTTACCTTTATTCTCAGTGGTGATTCTCATTAGATTCTCGTGAATGTAATACATTATTTTATTTACATTTATTATTTTAATTGTATTTAAATCAGCAGAATTTGAAGACCGCATAACTAGCATGATGTGTACTATAGCTCTATCTAATGAGTTCTAGAGTGTGAAAAGATGTTTAATTTTTAATTTTTGTTTTTGTTCTTTATATCTCATTTTTATTATTCTTTATATATTTGTTTTGTATTCTGGTTGTGTGTGTAATTTATTGCTATGACTGTATCCCCTGTGAATGTTATATCTTCAATAAAAAAATAAAAAAATAAAATAAAAAAAAGAGTTCTGGAGTGTGTTGCCCCCTGCTGGCCGCACGCTGAACTGTCCCGGAAGGCGTTTGTTCAGGGAGGAGCCAGAGCGCAAATCAGCAGTAAGCGCAGCAGGAAACACTGCACTGATAATCCTCAACCACTGTGTCCATACACAGACCTCGAAGGCGAGGTCAACTCAATTTGAGTTTGCTGTTCTTCACCGCCTGCTGTGGTTTCCCTCTTCACCTCAGGATAATTGCGCAAACCCGCTTGAATCGTGGACAGTGCCGGGACATTGGGCCGCGGTGAATCAGGTGAGTCCTGCCCGGGCCCGTCGACTGCTGCCCGGCCACAGGTGTTTCCACTCACCGACTCTATGGATGTGTCTCAAAACGTACTGAGATGTTTAGATAGCGAGCAAACGAATATTCATATAATACCTACAAATGCTGTCTAGCTAGGAAGCTCACGAAGTGTTGAGGCACAACCAGTGAATTCTAACTTACAGCTCTGTATGAACTTAACATATGTTTTTGTAATGGGGTACAAGCTGTCTGTTTGCAGATGAATCTGTTGTTTAATCTCTTCTTTTGCATTTTGAGTATTGTCCAGCTAACTAATGAATAACGTTCAGACTAAAACGAAACTAACACTTAGTTCTGACCTTGTTCTCCACGGTTGTCCACACTATCATGAAACTACAGCTCTCTGAATGAGAGAGCAGAGAATGTGTTATTAGTTCTCTAGTTACTCCGATCAGCAGCTGGAAAGCAGATATATGTCCCGTACTGTGAACATACTGTCTCATACTTTCAATTGTGTTTCAATATTTTACTAGCATTTACCTCATTAATTTTGTTAGTTGCACAAAACAAAAATTATCCCAGATGGAGACTCAGATATCAAACTTAATCTAATAGCACTCGATATATCAGCCATTTTATGTGTGTGTGTGTGTGTGTGTGTGTGTGTGTGTGTGTATGTGTATATATATATATATATTATACACACACTTGTTATTTATGCAAAATAGTTTCTAAATGCTCAAAAGAGAATTAAAATTTCTGTCTTGGGCTCTGTCTAATTGTTAAACTAAGTTACTTGACCTGTAAATACTATTATTAGACCCCACAAATGGTTGTATTATCAGTAGGTCGGATAATAAAGAACCGGTTTAGTTAAAAGGTGAGGATAGTTGCTTGAATACATTGATCGGCATGATTATTTATCTGTATTAGTTCAGAGACTATAGTGTTGCACCTGACTTTGAGTGTAAAGTTAAAGTGCTTTGGTAAGGACTGGGGAATTGGCTGTCCTTGGCATAGATTGGTGGAAGGCTGCCCCACCGGTCTGACAGGTTGAGAATCGAGAATGATGAAGCCTCTGCCTTTCAGACTCTCATGTTGCTTCACTCTTGTTCCTGATGTCAATGTTTCCCTGGTTTGTAAAGCGACTAAAGTTGATTCATTAGCCTTCATAGTTAATTTGTGGATTAAACATATTGTTACCGACTTTGGCTAACAGTTGTGCCATAGACAATAGCGAGATTAGGACCGTTGGCGTCATCTGTAATTAATCTTGGGTCATTTAATTCAGAAGCTGCCTGTAATGTATGGCCGGATTGAGCTTTGCCCTTGTGGAGAGCCAATGCAAAGTACTTGTACAGTGTGATCTCGGGTAACACATTTAAAATTGTGACAAACTAGACTTCGTTTCAAACCCTTCATGCTTGTGTTGACACAAGGATTGACCTGAAATACGTGTCAGAGAAGGATGTTTTTGTGAAACACAATGTTCAAAAAAATCCACATTTTAGTCTACCAGGATGTCTTAAAATTTTTTCCCAAAAAAAAAAGTTATGCATGCACTACCGTTCAAAACTTTGGGGTCAGTATGATTTTTTTTTTATACAAAAGTTAATACATTTATCGAGCAAGGACGCATTAAGGAGCAATTATGCATCCATTACAGGAATAAATTACTTGTATTAAAATAGAAAAGTCATTTTAAATTGAAATCATTTCACAATATTACTTTGTGTTTTTGATCAAATAAATGCAGCCTTGATGAGCACAAGAGGCTTCATTCAAAAACAAAAAATTAACCGACCCTTTTTTTGAACATTAGTGTATGAATTGCCTTGTTTGACACCTGTTTGCTTCAAAGTTAATGCAGCTAGGCTGCTCTATTTAGGCCACAGTTTTAATAAGAATGTTCTTGCTCATTCGCATGTCTGTTGTTTCATATTTTATGTCTCTGAGGTCCAGGGAAATTGAACTTGTTGCCATCAGTTAATGAAGAGCTGCAGATAGATGATGACTGTTTACAGAAGACTTTAGGTGTGGTGGCACTCCGCCTCGGTATTTACCTTTTACCGGACTTGACATTCGAGCAGCAAATGTCAATCAATTGATCAATCAAACGTATCAATTGCAACTAGTTGGTTACCAGTCTGATGTATCACTTTGAGATGTTCGAGTGTAAATGTGGTTTTTATGCTTCACTTCATGGCCCTTCTCAGAGAAGACAGGAAAGGCTTGAGTTTGGGGACTGACATCCTGTGGCGGGACACACCCCATAGCTATAGACAAGATCTTATTTTTACATTTTCACAGAGAGGAAGAGAAGGTAAAGAAAGGCTTCTCACTTCCACAGCAACAAACGGTTAGCGTGGGTGATAGCATGTAGGGAGAGATCAGCTTTACAATGACCAGTAAGAATGAGAGGAAGTTCATCCAACACTTCCTCATCCTGTCCAGCTGTTCTTTTTTTTTTTTTTAAGCACTATGAACTTTTGTCTGTTGGATGTCTGACTGGAATGAACAGTTTTGTTCAAACAAAAATGTCTGTCGTCTATGATCTTACTCGCAGGTCATATGTTGAGTGTAAAGTTAAAGTGCTTTGGTAAGGACTGGGGAATTGGCTGTCCTTGGCATAGATTGGTGGAAGGCTGCCCCACCGGTCTGACAGGTTGAGAATCGAGAATGATGAAGCCTCTGCCTTTCAGACTCTCATGTTGCTTCACTCTTGTTCCTGATGTCAATGTTTCCCTGGTTTGTAAAGCGACTAAAGTTGATTCATTAGCCTTCATAGTTAATTTGTGGATTAAACATATTGTTACCGACTTTGGCTAACAGTTGTGCCATAGACAATAGCGAGATTAGGACCGTTGGCGTCATCTGTAATTAATCTTGGGTCATTTAATTCAGAAGCTGCCTGTAATGTATGGCCGGATTGAGCTTTGCCCTTGTGGAGAGCCAATGCAAAGTACTTGTACAGTGTGATCTCGGGTAA